ATTTATTCCTGCCTGCTGGTGTTTGTTGTTTTTTGTAAGGGGCATTAGATGGCCCAGTTCCTTCTATCGCAGGGTCAGCACCCTGTTTATCTTGTATTCCTGAATATTTTATGTCAAGTGATGTTTTAGCTTTAGAAGAATTCTCCCTTGCTGAGGCAGCTCACTGTCTTTCTATAAGATATTTTCCCCAAAAAGTATGATTCAGCATGGAAATCTTGCCTAACCATCATCTATCAACATCTGGGAAGTTTTGGTGATCTCTCCAGATGTTGTTAAAATGTTTTTACTTCTTCTTCTCGTAAAAAAATTGTAGAAATACTTAATTCAGCTGAAATCCAGCTGATGGTTTTCTGGCCTCTTCCAGCTTTTGGGAGATTTTTTGCCTTATTTTTTGACCAAATGGTTCTAATTAATGTAGGTCTATTCTTTTCTGCTAGGTTCAGATTCCTGATATCCTTTGACAAATTGTGGTGAGATTTGAATTGAAGAGATATATTCTGTGCTGACTGATCTGTGTGCCACACTTTAACATAATCCATGAGATACAGACCTGTTTGGGTGCAACAAATTTCATCCTAATGTAGTCTATTTGTGTAAAGGACGTTGATCTTACCAGCTCAATGGCATCTACCAGTGTGGTAAAGTTTGGGTTGGACTTGTACTTCTGGATAACCGAGGAGCGCAGGGTTTTACCTGCACATTCGATGAACACCTGGAAAAATAAAAATCTTAAAGCTAATTTCCCAAGTATCCCTGATTTATTAAGAAACATTTTGATAAATGCAGAATTTATGATGATTATGAATTCTCTGCTCAATTCACATTCTGTATGAAGTGAGGTATTTTTTCAAACCTGTGGCCGATCAACGGATAGGAGCTGAACCTTCTTCAGCTCCCTCAGTCCCCAGAACAAAACCTGCATAAACATCCATTTTAACAGGTCAATTTAAAGATCATTTTAACACTGTTTGATCAGTGATGAAAGCAGACAAACCTCCAGCCTGTAGGTGCTGAGAACAGGCCTAATGTAGGCAGGAACAGTATAGATGCCTCCTTCCTGCTCCTCTAAATCTGGAACATTCAGCTGTTCAGAGTCTTTAACCTACACAGTGGTCATAAGAAACCTTCTTTGTGGATTACTATGTTAGAAACAGTAACTTTAGTTAATAGTGAATGAGTATGCATTGTTCGTTATTAAGTTATAACATGGTTTTAAAAAAAGTCAACAGAAGGAGAACAAATCTATATCATTTGAGGTCCCCTACTGAAGAGGCTAGACAAGTCGGAAAGTTTTGTTACTGTATGTAGTAGTTGATCCAGACTTGCCCTGCTACGACCAGCTTGGGTATGACTCAGACTTAGTGTCATGATCTGCTGTGATAGCTGGCCTTAATTACTCATGCCTTTCACCTGCTTTACTCTTTCCAGCTCCTAATTATCACTCATCTCATCCACCTGGCAGTTGCCCTTATATTGGGCTCAGTTCCAGCTATCATGGCCAGATCATTAGATGTTATTTTCTGTTCAGTCTGTTCAGTTCTGTTTATTCTAAGGTTCATGTCCTGGGTCCTGGCGGCCAGTAGAAAGAGGGTTTTGTGTTTGTGTCGTCTCCTGCTCGTCCACTGTTCCTCCCCTGCTGAGCCCTCTGGGTTTTTGGCTCTGTATAGGTTCAACTTTTATCCTAAGTGGGCCTGGCTCCAAGAATGAGACTAGTTTAAAGGTCCTGCATCAAGTTCTGGTTCCACGTTCTGTCTCGGCTACCCTCTTCCACTGAGCCTGCCCGTCTGCACCTGATCCTGTCTGCTCCTGTGCGTGTCCACCTGGTCACGCTTCTGGACTCTGAACCTGCCTGGGAGCTCTAGGATGCCTGGAAGCCTGGATCCTGCCTGTTCTATCTGTTCCTGCCTGTTCTGAATCCCTGTCCAGGATCGGCTTCCTGTAAATCCTCTGGGACTGGTGCACCGGGGACACTCTCAGTGATGCATGCTGCGTCTTTCTTCAGTCCAGCGGGTGGATTGCTCCCCTTTCCAGGAAGATGGACTGGACTGTAAAATCAGGCAAGTGACTCACTGAGATCATCATCTTCTGTCAGATGATTGTGGTCACTTACCTGTGTTTCTCCCACCAGAGTGTCTGAGATTGGACGACGCCCCGCCCCCTTCCTGCAGCATCCGCGAGCCGCAGATCCTAGCAGCTCCACTTTAGTTTTGTTTATTTTCATTTAATAAAAGTGAACTTTCCTACTGACTGTCTCACCTTAAATACTGGGTCCATCTGTCCTGTTTTATGACACTTAGACAACATTTTTTGCCATCTTGTGTATACAAAATGAAATTTTGTTTTGTACTGCACTCATGACATTTCAATGTCTTAAAGTGCAGCAGCGATAAAATGTAAACATTGTGGGAGAAAAAAAACATGGTGCAGAAAAAAGGCTTTGATATGGTCAGTTTGCTGCAGAGTCTGTGACATGATCACATTCCTCTGTTCACAAGGATGTTTGAATAATTATGTCAAGTAACTCCTGTACATCAGTGGCATCCATTACTGTTATAAAAGGTTTGTTTTTAATTTCTTAAAAAGATGCTGTGGATAGCAAATATGGATAAATCTGACCTTGTCTGTTCGGCAATGGTAGTGACTAACCTGCAGCAGCTCGAATGCGGCCAGCAGGTCTCCTCCTGATTGGCTGCCACAGTGAATTGGGCTATACTGCAGGGTAGGGGGGGAGTAGGGTTCGGAGGCCAACCGCACTTCAGGGACGGCCACTGTGGCACCCAGATACTCTGCCTTTCCCTAAACAGAGCCCAGACATTGTGGTGGTTAGAGATGGCAGAAAGACAGACTCCTCTGCATCGTCTACTTTCTGTGGGGATTACCAGAGCGTCGTCATCGTAAACCTCAACAACAACATATGGCGGCTCTGCCAGGACATGCTGCAGGTCTCCACTCAGCACGAGGTTGCTCATTGGCAAACACTGATTCCATGTAGGACTGAGAGTCTGATTAATGATCTGTCAGCAAACACACAACCACAAAGTCATGATGATTTTAAAGTAGCGTTGGTCAGGATACCGAGAAGGACACATAATGGCACACTCACATTGGTGGTTTGGCAGTGTGAGAGAAACGTGACTCGAGCAAATGGGTCCGACAGGCCTGTGTTGTCTGCAGCGATCAGACCACGAGCCTGATACATGTGGCAGCGCAGCGCGAACTGGTGCTGCTCTGAGGGAACAAACATTACAGCAGGTCCATTCAGTTCTGAAAACTTCTGACATATTTTACTGCAAAAATAAAACCTCATACCTGATTACATCAGCTAAACCAAGTCACCAAAAACAATAATTCATTTAGGGGGGTGGAAATATTTTGATTCTAATAATTCTTTAAACCAATAGACATATTATTTATGAACAGACTTTATGAGGCTGTTAAAATGCAGATCTTAACCTACACCTGCATCCAAATGTTGGCTGTTTAACACTTTTTAATCAAAAGAAAAATATGGTAGGAAAACATAATAATAGTGCAAATGTGGGCAAACTTTCACACTCCTGTATGATTGAGATGTAATAAAAGATATATGTGATCTAGAATGGGCGTATCCCTTTGTTCCAATTTGAAGTCTGGGGTCATATATCGGTCTCCTTGAACCCCAGTCGGCCTCGGCAGATTGGCGCTCACACTGAGCCTGGTTCTGCTGGAGGTTTCTTCCTCTTAAAAGGGTTTTTCCTCTCCACTGTCGCTACAAGCATGCTTAGTGTGAGGGATTGCCTTCGATTCAATGAGCCGATGCAATCAACTGGTTTTCCTTAGATAGAAAACTTTGAATCAATCTGACTGGATGATCTGGTAGAACTGTAAAGGGCCTTGAGATGACAGGGGTTGTGAGTTGGCACTATATAAATTGATATCAGATATAATTTATAAACAGTTCAGGTAGACAGAATGTAACTAAAACAGTATCACTAAGGTAAAATGGTGCATGGCTGGTTGGTTGCAGAAATAATCTGACATCTAACATAAGTTTGCATCAGGATAGAAATTGATAAGTGCTGCATGGAACAGAGCAGCAACACTGACAGGGGAGCTGATAGCTGAGCTGGGCAGTCAAGCACCGCCAGCTCTAATCTGAAATAGAGCCAGTTCTATTGGCAAACGGCCTTGAATAAGAAATGTCTGAATTCACTTGAGGAGTTTTGACAGACAGAAGGCCTGATATTTTACAGACAGAGGACCTTAAAGAGAGGTGCTGCTAGCAGCCCCAGCATGTTACGCCGCTGTGACCTGTATTAAAACTCTGTCTTTGTTCTTAGCCACCGTATAAGCAGACAATCTACCTGTTGAGTTTTCCCATTAACGTCACAAAGAAACACAACGAAACCCCTAAATAGTACTCTAAAAATGCTTTTTTTGGGGGCAGATTTAACCATATTTCCCAACAACTGCTCATTTTAGCAGAGTGTAGTCTATTTCAACCATATTTCACCATTATTATTTTTACATACCGGTACATATATCAGGGGTTGACGTTAAGGATTTGACCAAGTTACTTTCACATTTCATTTGCCCAGAAACAATTTTTACTTGCCCAGTATAATGTTTGATAAATATAGTTCATAATATTCATTTTTGTATATATATCAATGAAACATGTTCTTTTTTTAAATGTTTTTTGTAATTCAGTATTTTTTCTGGTGTGTATATGCATGCGTCAGATAATGAACTCAAGCCTACATTACCGTGTTAACATGCTTTTCAATCTTTCCTGCACATTCTTTTCAAACTAAACTTTGCTTTAAACTGTTGTGTGCTTGGAAAAATATAAATTGTAATGTTAAAAATCTAAAAAAAACTTGACTGGTTAAAAACTTAAGATAAATCACAACATAGAAGTCAATGTCACAAATTAATAATTTACTTACTTTAGAGTCACAGTATGTTTATACAAGATAATACTATTAATATAATGTGACCTTTCTAGAGAATCATTATACATAGTTATTTTATACAGGGTTTCCACAGTCTTACATAATTTCAGAATTCCCTGACTTTTAACTGACTCAGGATTAGTTTTCCCTGACAAAATAAATGCAGCAACAAGACAATAATAATAACAATTTTCAAATCACGTGAGAATGTGTACAAAACAACAAAAATGGTGCCGGCTGGGTCGTTTTCAGCTAATGTCGGTGATTTTAAAGTAATTTTGAGTGATAAATAATTTTTTTTGCGATCACTGCACTTGCCCGGCGGGCAAATGCAATGAAATTTGTACTCTCCCGACAATAAAAAGTACTTGCCCCGGGAGATCGGGCAATGGTTAACATCGAGCCCTGTATATGTATAAAATTAGGTAATAAACAAAACCCTTTAAATTGGCTATTCTAAATCAATCTAATGTGAGCCAAAATAGACACTTTGAAAGTGTTGAATTTAACTGAGCAGGAGTTGAATGAACACTTCCACGTTTTCTGCAGCGAAAACTTTTTTCTGCCTGTTTGAACATTAGATCCTAGATCATTGGTTATCTCTGAGCTCTCTATTTTCTGACCAATTTACTCAGTGATATTATAAATGCACTGGTTCAGTGACAGTAATACACAGCCAGTATATGTTGGATAAATAGACATAGCTTGTGATGACCTGGATATATCCACTCTTGGATTTTTAGTGGAATTATTCTGAAAGACTGAGCGGCAACAATTTGTAAGACCAGTGACTCTGCGTCCTTCTTGGATCGATCCAAAATTCACATAATGCTAAGAGTGTTCATGCTAATGGTTCTCGCTCACCTGTGCAAAGCAGGTATGAAGGAGGGCTGTTACCATCGGCGCCCCCTGTGTCTGGTCGGTATCCTGCAGGCAGGTCATCCAGCATGTGGGCAGAGTCTGAGCAAGCTCCAAACCACAGATACACGTCCAGCTTGGCTTGAACTGACAGTCCTGAAGGCCGCTTCCCTGGTGGCTGCACAAACCCCCCACCCACCCACACATGACCTTTTTGTTCTGCCAGACATGCCAGGCCGTACAGGAGCAGTGTAATATGTGTTCTTACCTTCAGATATAGTGTTAATATCTTCCCACAGAGGATTCCTCTGGATTCCTGGTTGCTGGAGTACAACAGGTCTCTGGTTCGAACCCGGGCATATGCAACACGTTTGTTGTTGCTAAGCAACCACACAAACATGTCCGGGACTGTATGTTGGGGCTGCAATGTAAGGATGTGTATGTATGAAAGTGAAAAGTTAGCTTATTTATGGTAAACATGTCACTCAGAAGCAGTTTGAATGTTTGCTTCACCTCCTCCACGAGGAAACGCAGTTTTTGTGTTAGCTTAGTTGCTTCTTGCAGGATTTCTTTTGCTCCCCCTGTTCTCTTCCTCCCCAACAACGACTCAGCCTCTCCGATCATGCTCTCCTGCAACATATGCCTACATGTTATGTGTTTTATTCTACTAATGCTTTGCAATGACATGTCACTGGAGAACACCATAGCTGCAGACTGATCTGGTGATTCTTCAATTAAAGATCTCTTTAGAGCTTTGAATTACAGCAGTCATAATTATCAGAGCTGTCACATACTGCAGGTTGTACGAATTTAGGCAACAGAAATGTAACAAATTTAGTTTGTTTTTAATTGTCTGTTGGAGAATCTGACCACAAATCTGACCTCTGTTGGAAAGTGGAAATTCAAAAGCTTTAAAAAAATCCTGTTTGTAGCCAAATTATGCAGCAAACGTGTGGAAATTTTGCTGCGATCACATAGGATCAAAATTATAGTGTTGAAATACAAAATGCTCTGTGGGGTGGAAAACTAACATTGCTTATCCTCCTGAAGACAAGGTCAGAAAACTTTAAATGGTTGCTTAAAGCAGTGAGAAAAAGACTTCAGGACGGGATATAGAGTCAACTCCTAACAGGTCAACAAATTCAAGCATACAGCCTGAACTAAAGATGGATTAGATTAGATTTAGATGAAATCAAATAAATTTGTTGTAATACGGTCTAGTCAAAGTCCTGAAATAAAGTCAAATAGAAAACAGTGACTTTTTTCTGAGGTTGAGTCAGTAGGCAAAAATGAGAAAGACTTTTAGTCACTTTAGTATCGGTGCGCTAAGATATCACTTGCTAAAGATCAAATTACATTGCTTGGGTGTGACTCTACAAGCACCGATCACATTTTTCTCAAAACATATAGGATCGGACTAGACTTTATATAGACAATATATGTTTTATTGATTCAAATATTTATGAATAAGAGCTATAGAAAAAAGCCCGAACATATATTTAAAAGGATATTGATAAAAATCCTATTTATCTATCAGATATTAAATTAAACAAATAATTCTGGGATCCCAAAGTTAAGACTAAGATCTTGAATATCTTGTAAGGTGTTGTGGTTTTTCCTCACCAGCTCCTGTTTGCACATGGTCAAGCGTTTCTTGTCCAGCAGAGTCAGAAAGCTGCTCTTCTGCCCTGCTTTCAGTTTGGCCTCTGCAGCTGCAATGAAACTCCTGTAAAACACAAGGCGATGATGGGAGTATCAGGTAAAATTCATACTAAAAATATCTGCTTTCAGCTATTGCACCTCTACCAAGCATAAATAAAAGGTCAGGGTTAGATATGATATTAACAACTAGTAAGTAAAAACTAGATCAGGATTTCTCTGAGATATTGAAGATCTTGCTTCTCCGACTGTCATTTCTAGAACAAAAAGGGCTGGGAGTCTTTGAAAAATGGTCTCATTAAACTTTGGTGAATTTCTTGACAGATATTTTCTGCTGATATATGAAAAGTGTGGAGATTTGAAAGTTTTAAAATAAGTAATTTGTTGAACAGGGATACCACACCACATTAAATGAGCAGTTACAGTTAATAATCCAACATAAACAGTTCATTTTATGCATGGATTCAAAGTTGGCTTTTAAAGACGTGAAATTTTACCAGTAATTACCTGGCATCCAAACAAAAGTTTCTGAGCACAGCTCTTAAAGTCGCTTCAGCTGCTGGGTCCAACTTCTTGAGTAGCTCAGCAGCAGCGGAAACACCCTCCTCCTGTAAGACATGAATACGGCCGAGATACATGTTTTTCTATGCATTATTACATTGAAAGAGGTAATGGAAGGAAGCAGTTAAATAATCCAGAGCTGGTGCTCCTGTCCTGGTCTTTAAATACTTTGATCGGCCTTTTCCAAGTCTATTGAAAAGGATTAAATCATCTGTTTTATTACCAGAATCTCTCTTTTTATTTAACATAATTAAACCTGCATTACCTGCAGAGTACATCAGGTCATAAACTGATGCAACCTAAGTGTGAATTAAAAACATATGGGGTTTGATAAAACTTAAACAGTTCCCCAAGTGATAGCTTTCTGTGTTTGTTTGTCTGTACTTACAAAGAGTGTTGCTATATTCTCCAGCATATTTGAGTTGTGCAGCCGGTAAGTTCTGTCCTCCCAGTAGCTCACCACATTCACACAGGGCTTCTTCTCCAGAGGTAAATACATGTAGTGTCTGGACATAATTGCACACATGCATTATTTTCCTTGGTAAAAGCCAGAAGCAAAATTAAAAAAAGAAAATATGTACTGTATTACAGGCTTTGCCTTAATAATGATAATGATTAAAAGTCAGCAAAGTGTTGACCCGAGGTGCTGGAAAAGCTTGATAGGTTAGATAAGTTTTAATTTTATGGATATAGGCAACTCTTGAAAACTAAAATATTCAAATATCTTAAAAAGAACCACAAAAGAAAAAAAAATTAAATCCAAAAAAACTTTAAAGATATAGTGGAGGATGTTCTTCTTCCAAGTGGATTATCAAAATAAGTTGTCCTCCTAATTGTCAATCATTCTGGTGATATGTTTACGTAGGGCTGTCCTATGTGTTTTCTTTGAAAAGTAAGCTTGTATGAGCGATGCACTTTTAAAAGGGTGTGCACGAGGAGAAATGGGCTTGTGTGTGCTCTCGCATGTGTTCAATAGGCATTGCTCTATTTGCACACTGCTCTATTTGCACTACCTTGTAAGATGCTATGTTACTTTTTATATTTTATATCCATATTTTTATCCTAAGTGTATATATTAGTCTATTTTATTGCATGCCTTATACCCACAGTGTTTTAGATATTTTTATAATTTTATTTACCTATTCCATATTATATGTTTCGTGTTGCACGATTGTACCATAAAAAATTCCTAGTTTGTGAACTCCTTCACTAACAATGGCAATACACCTGATTCTGATTCCCTCTAGGGAGCAGCTACATGTTTGATAAACAGATTAAACATTAAGAAATACCAATCTATCTTGCTACGATTGCTACATACTGCCCTTCCAGGCTATTTTACCATAATTTGGATCTTTAAAGATGAGACGGAGACATCTAGCCTGATGGGGTCTGGGTAACCCTAATGGCTAACAGAGTAAGAGACAGATCTTTAATATTTATTCCATAAACCCCAGAAACGTCTCTTCAGACACAAACACATATAATATCTTACCAGATGTACAAACCTCCTATAAGTGTATTAAAATCTGAGCTGATTGTATTAGAAAGCTGTCTGTGCAATAAGTCCCTTTCACAAAATATTGCAGCTAACAGTTGACGAACTGATCAAGTCAACAATGAATGGGTGGGCCAGAGGATGATGAAACACAAGGGCTGCATTCGATTCCCTATATAGGAAACTATATAGTGGTTACACTATTTCAAATTAGTGTCTGAACGTCTAGTGGATGAAAATGTAGTAGACATTAAAATTCCCACAATGCACCTTGAATAGTAGTGATCATTTATGGTCACTAGACGAGCAGATGTATTTGATTTGTTGTGACAGCAGCCCACTGTTGGGTAGTGTGAGTGTCAACAATGAACAAAGATGACATATGCACTGTGCGGGGAGGCGGAGCTACATGACCAATGGGGAGAGAAAAGCAGTGATCATCTGTTTAAAAGGTCCATTAACTGAGTTCACTATAATGTTCACTATACAGTCCCCACTCTATAAAGTGATTAAGGGATTTAGGGCTTAGGATGGACATTCAGACACAGCCATAGAGGTCAGAGTTTGCTTCACACCTTCTGTGCCCTCAGTTCAACTGATTGAAAGCCTTATGGTCTTTATGACCAAACAACTGCACAGAAGAATGACATCATCATGGCCAACACGACGTAATGGATGCAGTGGTGTAACCAGAGCCGCTGTAGAAGGGATTAAATAACCCCAAAGGGCTGTTTACAGGACTTGACCTGAGGCAGTGAGCTCAGTTGAAAAATAATGTTCTTATTTTGGGAATTTTAATTTATTCTACAGACATAGTCTATCTTCATCCGTATCTTCTTGTTTATAAGGGAGCCTTAATATTTTGTCCACCTCAACAGCCTGGACAGATGACAGCCTCAAGTGTATAACAGCACATTCAAAGAAAATCTACCTGTTTCCTTCAACGATGAGAGGTTTCTCTGGAGGTGTGGTGGATTTAGAGGCTAAAGATGTGTCCAAAGGTTCTTTGGGTAGAAGCAGTGAGGATGAGCTGGTAGGAGAGCAGCTCAGCATTGAGGAGCCAAATGCTTCACTGCTATCTGGGACGTCAAGAGCCTTCCTCCTTCTAGTCACAGCAGGACTGGCAGTGCTTTGCTGAGATGGAGACTCCAGGACATTGCCATAGTTACCTGACAGGAAACACAAGTAAACATGGAAAGTTTGGCTTGTCACGAGCAAGAAATTTGATTGGAGGACGGGACTTAAATATAACAACCGACACAAAAAGATCCCTTGCTTTTTTCATCAGGTCAAACATTACAATCAAGAAAAATTTGGTTTGATTTTTTTTTTTTTTTTTTGTATAGTGACTCACCAAGGGAGAACTCAAAGCTGATGGGCCTGTCTCCAATCTTTCGGTCAATCATGGTGGCTTCAAGCAATGCGCCAAACAGCAGGAAGGTTTCACAGTCATCTTCATTTGGCTGGAAATAAAAAAATACGAGCATTGGCTCATTTTAAATTAAGATATCTTTAACTGAGATACAAACATCCGGTCAATTACTTCTTTTTGCATGTGGGTTTGATGAAACAGTTTTGAGCAAACGTTAGCTTTAGTTCTTTGGGTAAGTCAAAAACAGCTTTTTCATCTGAAAGTATTTTTAAAAAGTTTTACACTTATGCTCCACTCGAGGATTAAGAGTTAAAGACATTTTATTGTCAATTTTAGACCATAAAGATAATTTGCAAATAAATCCAACCTAAATGTATATGTATTGCAGAGAATTAAGTCAGAAAACAAAGAAAAAGCATCTTTAGAGGAGGCTTCAAAAATATAGAAATGAGAAAACATGGAATGTTTCTATAATTTTAAGATAAAGTTCTTTGTGCGCTGAAGCAGTTTTAAATACAGCAGCACCCCACTGCAGGAAGCAGACATTTATCATTCATACTGTAAGTGAAAATCAGAATATGGCTTATTTAGCCAAATCTTAAAGATTTTTTAATTCTCTTATTTTAAAACTTTAAGAAATTCAAAGTGTTAATTTATAATCTAATCTCAGGTTTTATTTTCACACTTAACTGCTATTTATATGTTTAAAACTGTTCTTTGTGTACTTACCATTTTCTTTTATTAATAAAGGCCTATTAAACACAAAAAGTTCCCACCACAAGTTTTGGAGGAAACCTACATAAACCTAAGGTCAGCAGTGGAATAGAAACATTGTTCCTGGAGCACCACTGTGTTAGATATTTGACCTTTTCTTTATAGCGTTATCTTTAGGCACGAGACACACAATTGGTTTTATCCACAAACTTCATAACCACGCTTGTGGGCTGGAGAGCAGTGGAGTCGTGTGTAATGAGAGCAGGGTTGAGAACGCAGCCCTTTTGAGTGCCAGTGCTCAGGTTAATTTTAAAGGTCAATGCAGTCATTTTGAAGCTTTTTAATAAACATTTTTATCTCTTATAGTGATTCTGTCCTAACTAGCACCATTTTCACATTTTTTGTCTAAAGATTGATCCTTTCGATTTTCCCACTGCTTCAATTAGATGAGAAGGTTCTAACAGAAACATGGCCCCATGAAGCAAAGCACATAAGAAATGAGATTTCATTTTGATACATTTCGATTGTATCATAATTTAAATGTTTTTTTCTAACCCTTACCAAAGAAGGGGGGTCAACAGGAAGGACCTCTGCTGCTTTTCCTTTATCATCATCAGCTGCCCCTGTCCCTCCTCCGGCTCCTCCAGCAGGACTCTTTGCATCCTTCACACCAGCTTTCCCTGCTTTTATGTCTTTCACAGGTTTAATCATCCGACTGAGTTTGGACTCTGAGCCCGTGCCTCCGGACAGGATCTCCACCGCCAGCTCCAAGTAGACCCTACCCCTAAAATCACAAGGACACAACTGGATGTAGGAATTATTTCAGGAATGTTGTTTTGTTTAAAAAAAATGAAAACGCATCATGTTTAGTTATGAACCTGAAGGAAACCCCTTCGCCAATGCCTTCATTAAGTTCCCCTGTGTCATCACCCAAGGAGAAGTTTCGCGCTGAGCCATATAGGTTAATCCAAGCAGGACCAAACGTTGGTAAAAACCCTGAAACCAATGAGAAAGTGAAAAAGTCAGCATGATTAAACCACAGCGTTATTTTCACCTAACATCTGGGTCTGATTTCATCTATGACTCAGTTCTTCCTCACCTTTGTCACCGTCTTGTTCATTAGAAATACGTCTTAGGTCAAAGTAATGGGTTCCTATGGCAACATCATTCATGCTTCCCTCATCCCAGACCTTAAAGTAAAATGAATGTAAGATCATGGGGAGATTATACCTGTATACATTTAATAAAATTCTTTATAGAGCTGCAAAGACGTGTGTTTGCTTAAATTCAGACCTGAATCTTTAATCTCTGACACAAAGGAGGAAACATCTCAGTGAAGACAATCTGCTCGTTCCACACCGGATCAGCTGAGGACTTTTGGGTGGACGTGCGACCCTGAGAGAGACAAAGACAAAAAGGCATATTACAAGCATATTACTCGACAGTGTGTCACAAGGCAACATAGAAACATACGAGCATGGACACATTTAAGGACTAATTAGAGATGCCAATTAACCCAAGACATGTGTTTGGACTGTGGAAGGAAGCCAGAGTACCTGGAGACAACTCACAAATTCACAGGGAGAGCAGGCAAGCTCAATGGAGAGAGACATTTGGCCAGGAATCTTTCTGCATGTTTTCCCTGAGCATGTGTGGGTTCTCTCTGGGTACTCCGGCTTACTCCCACAGTCCAAAAACATGACTGTAAGGTTAATTGGCTTCTCTAATTTCTTCTTAGGCATGAGTGTGTGTGTGAATGGTTGTTTGTCCTGTTTGTCTCTGTGTTGCCCTGCGATGGACCGACGACCTGTTCAGGGTGGACCCTGCCTCTCGCCTGTAGACAGCTGGGGTGGATGGATGGACCTTATTTGCTGATCCACCTTGTAAAGGTAGTTAGATTAGAAGCATTTACACTCCTTCTTTGAATACTTCGGTTTAAAATCACCTTTTAGTTTTAAAAACTTTTGGATTTATAGACAGGAAGCAATATTATTATTTTGGACTGTAAGCCAGAGTCATGACTTGAGTCAGTTTTAAGGGAGCTAAAGATTAAGGGGATGGCAGGAAGAGATTTATGCCTCAAAAACCTGAGGTCCATTAGCATAGACAATTTCATTTATCAGTAGTGAAACACCAATGGTGGCATTCCCATTGATTAGTATGAAACAGGACACTTTAACTTCACATGACAAAAGCATTGTTGTTTCTGGTTGATTGAACCATAATCAGTACAGTTGCAGCACAGTTGTAAAAATGAATACATTTCACATATTACATTCTGATTTTTTTGGGTTATTTTTAACATCAAATACATCAAGTTAAAAATAGATGGTGTCCTAAAAGGACAAATTACACTCTTTCATTTTTTTAAGCTGGTAAAGAATTTATGTTCATCTTCAATGCAGAATGTATTTTTGTACTGTTTTGGCTTAATTACTGCTCTTATCCACACTTTCTTTCAGTAAATGGATTGTTTTAGAATCTATATACATCAATGAACTGTTATTTGATTACTAAATTTTATTGATATAATTACTATAGTCTTTGGCGCTCAGACCTCAGCAGGAAACATTAGCACTGAATTTTGCTTTGATATGCATGAACAGGAGTAACGGACATGGATGTTTCCCTCCAGACCTGAAACTGGTGATGGAGTGGAGATAGATGAAGTAGGTCAGTCCATTAGTGCTGGTTGGTGAGACTCTATGCTGAGCTGTATAGAGAGATCCAGTGGACTGAGCTGATACTAGAGCTTCACTAGGGGACCTGGAAGATGGAAGACCAGCTTGGATAACACAGGTTGCATGAACCTGTCTGTGATGAGCAAGCATGAAGAGACAGTGGAGAGGAAAGACTCCCCATTGGGAAGAAACCTCTGGCAGAACCAGGCTCAACATGGCGGTCTTCTGCCGGACCGGTTGAGATGAGACAGGAAAGCAGTAAGAGCTCGGGAGGAATGACACTCTGATGAAGCTTTAGCTACGATGGTGGAGAAGGGGCTGGAGGTGGGTTGAATCAGGGTCATCTGAATCGAAGTCAGACATAGCACAACCACTGCCTGCGCTTTGGGTAGCAGACTGAGATGTGGAGACACTTTTAAGATGAACTCCAGATGCTGGTTAGGCTTTCATGGAGGTGTGGTACAAAGCTGATTACCGGTAGCTTGTGTCAGAGGCGGGTAAGGGTAGGTAATCAGTTCCTTCAATTAAAGTTCCGCCTAAGCTCCATTTCAATAAATGCTTTTTTGAGTCAAACTCAAAGACTTAAGCAGCAAAGCTTACTCTCCAAAGTTTTTAAGGCTATATTGAATGGAAAACTCATGATGCATTTGTTTTCTGAACAAAAACGGAGAAACATTTTTGGCTCACCAGTTGTTTAAAGAAGCTGACTACAACATAGGGGTCAATGAGTGCTGTGTTGTCTCCTATAAAGGCTTTGGTAACGTTGGCCATAATGCTGGAGTTGTTTCGAGGGAGGCCTTCAGCTCGGTACACCTTCACACAGAAACGGGCCCACGGGCGCTCAGAGGGAAGCCCCTCTGGAATCAGGAGGTTCCTAATAACAGAAGCACACAGCATCAATTCAATTCAGTTATATTGCGCCAATTCACTATATATGTCATCTCAAGGCACAATTCACAAGATCATACAGTCAAATTGATTAAAGGTTTTCTGAAAACCAGTTGATTGCGACACTTGAGAGGGAAGAATCCCTTTTAACAGGAAGAAACCTCCAGCAGAACAAGGCTCAGTATGGGCGGGCATCTACCGAGGCTGACTGGGGTTCAAGGAGACAGAAGCAGACATACAGAAAGATGCAGCGATACAAAAGGCAACTGTAAAAGGCGGCCCCCTCCAGGAAACACACAGCCAGGCAGAAGAGCTCCGAGCCAGCTCCCATGAAGAGAGCACATCCAGCCAGTCACAGTCAGAGAAACAAGACTACACTGGAAAACAGGCAGATCTCCGACATCTATAAACAAAGGTGTTTGATGCAGCAGCATAGCTGATATTTATCTGCAGGATGGAGTCACAGCCAAACAGAAACAGATGAGGAGAAGCTACTATGAGAAAAAGCAGAGAGATAGAATGAAGTAGAAGGATGAAAAAGGGGTCCCTATATCCTCCAGCAAGCTAAGCCTATAGCAGCATAACTATAGAGATAGCTCAGGATAACCTGAGCCACTTTAACTACTGTATAAGCTTTCCAAAAAGGAAAGTTTTAAGCCTACGCTTAAAAGTAGACAGGGTGTCTGCCTCACGGACTAAAATATCAGGTCAATCCATTTAGTGTATATGCTAAAGCAGCATGCATACATTTTGTGCTATTTAGAAAAAACATAATGTGGCGAGTCTGTCTAAAACCACACATTAGTTCTACTAAAAAAACATGTTTTCAGAGGAGGTCTGTACTTTTCGATCTGCTCTTCAGCATCACTCGCTTTTGGTCCCGGCTGCACGGCATCTCCTTTTGCTGAGACGCTGATGTCACATTTAACATAGCCTTTGACTCCAGTGCTCAGGTCACCTGGGTTGGTCAACACTGCCCACTTGTTCATAAACTGGTGACCTGAGATATGAACAAAATGATCCACTTTACATCCGCATAATAAGAAGCTATCAGCACCAACCAGCAGAGAAGTCCTCACTCTTTTACTTTTTTACTCAGATATTTAAGGTTTGGCTGTGCCACGCTGCTATGACTTTCTTCTAAATCAGAAAACACGGTTGACCTGGCTGCTTGTAGACCGTCCAAACGTCCAGCTTAAAAGATCCCACGGTAAATGACTTCAACATCTTTGAGTGAACAACCTGCAGAGATCCACAAAAGTTCTTTCAAAAAGTCTGTAAACAAAGTAAAGAGGATTAAAGTTGGTTTTATCATTGTTTGCATGTTTCGACTAACCATCAGTTTGATGATTTTGTCGAAAAAGACCTCTTTATGGGCAAAGAAGTCAAAAACAAAATACTGATGGAGAGAGAAGAGGCGGGATAGAGAGAAGATTAAAATGGGGCATAAAGTGATTTATGACATTTTTCTATCTAACACCAGCCCTTTGACATTTGTACAAGTGTTTCTAACAGTTTTTTTCACCTCGTTGTAAAATGGAGCGTTGGTTCCTTCTTTGACGGATGTCTGCTTCTTCTCATCCCCAATCTCAATCACCACACTGGGGTCTATGTTTTCCCCCACAAGCTGCCTGGCTTCTGTGATATTGATGGCAATCTGTGCCGTGGAAAGAAAAAAAAAATCAGACATCAGGCTTCAGATGAAGCTTCAGATGAAACAAACAAGTGAATCTATAAAAATGAAGGTTTTGTTTTGTTTCACTGCTGCATTGTGTGTTATTTACCTGGAAGCTCTCTGGTTTTCCTTCACTGCCCTGAATGCGAGTTTGAAGTTTGGCTCTGTGGAAATCCAAGCATATTTTAAAGTCAGATAAAAGCATTTTTTGTCATCCTGCTCACAGAAAAAACAAATCTTCTCAGCTTAAGTCCTAACACTGAAGAATTAAAGGTTTGTGGCTATTGATTTGCATAGTACTTTTTGGGACCTGTCAGTAATAATTTGGAAAACAATTGAAAACAAACTATTAGGAAGAAGAAACAAGGATAATTATATGGTGGGTTGTTTAAAAATATACAGTATATATCTGACCAGTCTGACAGTCTTTAAGAGGGTTGGTTGCACTGCAAAAACGATCAACAAATAAGTCAACTTTTTTTTTTTTTTTATTAAGTGTATTTATCCTTAATCTGAGTAGGCAAATAAGATGATATACCAATGGAATGAGTATTTTTACTCTTGAAATAAGATAATTAGATAATATGCACTTGACATAAGACAATGCATTTTTTTCTTATTTTAAATGTAAATTGTCTTCTTCCATTGGCAAAGTGTCTTACTTAATTCCTTAATTTAAGAAAAAAATGCAGTTATTTTAAGTAAAAAAATACTTATCTAGATTATTTTTTCCAGTGCAGCAAATGAAACTTTAGTTAAAAGGTTTCATCTACAGAGAGCACACCTGCTCTATTTTATCCTGTGCGGGCAGTGCTTTTATTTTATTTTATTTACTTTTATTTATTTTAGTTATTTTATCTTTTTTTTGCAGCACTTTGGAAACCTTGTGTTTATTGAAATCATGCTATATAAATAAAGTGGATTGGATTGGATTGGATTAGAAATTTCCTCTCATTTATTGTGCATTTCAACCACCGTGTAAACACTTAAAAAACATACGCTTCTTATTCATGATAAGTTATAAAACATTTCTGCGAATGGCTAGATTAGAACTGTGGGCCCTGAGTTTCACACCTGCAGTAGAAACAAGCAAAAACTAATGGTGTTTAATGATTTGGGTGGTTTTAACAGATCAACACCCTTACAGCAGACCTTCTCCACACTCTTCAGCTCCAAACGCTTCTGTAAAAGAGTGTTTTTTATTGCTTTGTAGCTGAGCTATTTTAAATATGACATGACTCTTTAAAGCATGTCTATAACTTCCACTTTGCTTGACTGACTGCCCCTAAAAGTATTACTAGACTGTTTCATCTTCTAAAACAGGGATAGAATGTGGTGTTAAGGCTACCTCTTTGTGTTTGGTTTTATTCTTCTGATGGCCAGCTGCTCCTCAGGGTTCTCTCCTTCCTGTAGGAAAGATGCTTCAGAGGAAGCCTCCACCTCACTGTCTGCACACATACAGAAACATACAGAAACTTTTCAGTGAACTTTCTCAGTCATCCAGGTCATGGTCAGTCTTGATGAATTCATTTTGAGTAACTGGACATGAAGTTTTCTAGAAGATGTTTTAATTCTAATCCAAGAGGCTTCTTCAGTTCTAACTAGTGGTGAGGTGCACTGAGGTTAACATACTGTAGGTATAACAAAGAATTAGGGGAAAAAGGGTGGCTCTGATTCCTCTTGCTTGATTGGCCGAGGAAGTCACCTGGGGGGTTAATGGTTGTCAGGGGGTTCTGATGGGCCGTTAGCTCCCTCGTAGGAGTGGCCAATGCCACATTGAAGTGTGAGTCAGGTTGGGGCGGGTAGGTGGGTGAAGGGGTATGTGAAAGACCTCCTCAGTCGAGAGATGGTTTTTCCAGGTTAACAAAGATGGCTTCCTTTACCCCCCGCTCAAACCATCTTTCTTCCTTTCCAAGGATATGGACTTACCATAAGTCCCATTTACAATACCCTCTGAAAACCATTCAGTGCCAACCTTGGATCAGTTAACCATGCCGAGCTTGGTTCCTTACGACCATTTAAACACCACGCTAGCATGTTTCCTCGCCTCCTACTGATGATCTACTGCTCTCTAGAGGTAAACGAACAAAATCAACATGGCGGTGCCCGTAACATTCAGGAAGTTTACGAAGAGTCAGGCGAAGAAGGCAGCCTTTGGTGAATTTACTTGACAGAGTCGGGAAGTGGATATAAATCTGATCAGGGCTTACAGACGCAGGAAACAATGACAGGCGTTAAGGTTCATCACACTGATGAACTAGTACCATGTTAGCGAGGTTTTGGTTGTGTCTGGTTCAGTTGTGCGTACCATTTACACTCAACAGTTGTCTCGGTTACCGTGCTTGGACCGTGCTTGGACCGATCTCAGCACGGTTTCGAAAAGGTAGTGTAAATGGGGTTATCGTTGCTCTTGAACAAGTGTCCTTTAGCCTTCAGGTGTAGGTGAAGGGCAGAAACTTTAGAAACCTGAATGTGAGAGTCACATCAGGAGGAGGACTATTTAGTTGGAGCAGGACTGCATGTTGTCTCAGTTCGATTCTGGCGAATGCTTATTTGAGCAGCATTAGTCTCCCTCCCGGTGATGACAGGGATGTTTCATCTGCTTATGATCACAGCTGAGTCTCAGTGATGTGTTTGTTTTCCAGGCCTTACCCACAGCGCCTTTATTTGCCAGGACGAGATCTTCGCTTTCTTTCTTCTTTTTCTTCTTCACTTTGAGGCCAAACAGCTTCTTCTTCCCCTTTCTGTTAAAAAAACAGTGAATTTGGTCTTAATCTTTACTCCCCACAGTATTTTACAGCTGAGCCAGCAATAGTTCAGAGTGAAGGAAAAGTCTAAAATAATTATAAACAAAAAATTCTGTAGTCTATTATGTATGTTTTTAATTTATTATTGTCATTTGAAGGGAGTAAAAATAGATATTTGCATATTGCTTCAAAATAAAAATATATTTATAAAAAAAGCTGGATTTACTGTATTTAAATTTGTTTGAGGTTTTCTATTATTGTCCAGTAAAAAAGTTTGTTATGTGCATCTAAAACAAGTTATTCTACATGTGAAGCACAAAATAATAGCAATTCTAACACAGAAACATTAACAGTGATACTGAAAAATTTAAATCTAATCAATTTAGCTGCGAAGAAGAATTCAAATATTTTTTGAGAATTCTTTTAGTTAAAATTGAAAGAAGATTATTTATCATAACAAAATATTCCTGCATCTTTACAAGCACGTTTGGAAAGGAAAATAAATAAATGCTGGAAAGACTCCTTTCTGCTTGTTTTAACCCAGTAAAACTTTTTTCATTTCTGAACCTTAAGGTGTAAACTGACCGGCTGAGAAGTTAGACCAGTCAGTTAAATAGAAAAAGAAATTCAAACTCCAATATCTCACCTGTGCTGAGATGCAGGACTGTCCAATAGATCCATTTAGCTGATTTCTACAAAAGTCTTATGTTCCCACAATAAAGATTTCACTTCACATATAATCCGACTTGACTTTAGCTGTACTTTTCCTAAGATCTGCCCAGTCAGATCAGAAGGGACACATAATATTCTATCTGCTGTCAATTTCCTTCTTTGACATCTTTCCCTGGAAGCATGGCTGGCTCTCAGACTTCCTGCACGACTTAACAACTTCTGCTTGTTGCTTCCTATGCAAAAATAAAATGGATCTCTATCAAGCCTTAAATATATCGGCTCTTCCCCCTTTTGGTTTTACATTAGGAAAATATGTTTCTGTTTAACCAGCTGTGGTTTCAGTTGATCAGGATCTCACGCATGCTGCTGTGTGAGTTGGTGGTTGCTAAGTGGGGACCTGCCCTTTCTCTTGTTAATCTCTTACACGGGAAAGTATAACACTGTGCAAACATTTTTTTTGTATTTAATGTGTTAAAGCTGTTTGACTATGAATCTAGTTACCACCCTGTTAAACTTGAGGAAATATTCTGTTTCTTATGATATGCAAGCAAATGTTAGGATATCAATGATTAATCTAGTTTTTACTCTTTGCAGAAGAAAGTAGTTTAATTACACGCCAAAACCAACTAATGAGCGTTTTTTGCTCGTTGAACATGTGATTTTAGGATAATTGTATTTTCCAGCTGAGGTAAAGGTTAGGACACCCTCCCCCCTAATAGTCAGTGCCACGCCCTTTAAAAAAAAAAAAAATTTTTTCCAACCCTCGGACATTAGTCTGAGAAAAAGTTTGTCCGTCTTCTCACTTCTAGAGTAAATGTGTTTGAGAGATTTCTTACACATAAGTTCAGTTTCAATTCACTTTATGTGTTGAATCAATGTTATGCTGCAGGGTCCGTTTCTGTGGGCTTTTTTTTTTCTAGATGGTCACATTCCTCACACCAGCCGCCTATGATGGAGAGGTGGACAAATCTGCTGCAGGTAATCATCCACAAACCACTACACTTCCACCTCTATTTTTTGTTGTTTCTGTTTTATTCCTAGAATGTCTGGTTTACCATACTCTAAACATATTATCTCTTATGGTGTCCAAGTTATTTAGTTTTAGACTCATCTGTCCAAAGAGCATTATGCCAGAAGTCTCAGGGTTTGTCTGCATTCTTCTTTTAAAAACATGAATCTGACCTTCTTTTTATAGAGAGTAAAACCTTTCTCCTTGCAGGGATACTATAAAGCGTCAGGTTAAATCACTTTCTGATCAAGTAAGAGACTAAGGCTAGAGGAATATATGATATTTTCATACCTTCAGATAATAGACTTGTATCCGTACCCGTCCCGGTACCTGTTCTGGTATTTGTCCAACAGATTCCAGTTTCTTAATGTTAATCATAGATCTTCAGACTTCAGAACACAAGTTATCCTTGTTCCAACAGTTAAAATCATCAGGCACCAAGGGATACATTTCCACTGGTATGATGATGATACTCAGCTGTGTTTGTCCACAAATACTGATTAATCTAACAGTTAGATTTAATTATAATATAACTAGATTTAATTAGTTAGATTCTAACTAATTAGATAAACTAGGACAGAGGCTATGGTCTTTAAAAAAAAGAGGCTCTCTAGCCAAGCTTCATCTGGATGGCATTAGATTGGCCTCTGGTAATAAAGTAGTTAAATTAAATTTGACCTTTATATAACACAAATTCACAAACACTTTAAGGCACTTTAAGGAGACAATTCAATTGAGTCAGTTGAGTCAGATCGGTTTGAAATTTTCCATTAAAGAAAATCAAGCAGACTTTGCATGGTTCACTCCTCCTGGAGTAAAAAATGATAATAATGGCTTTAAATTTTTAAAAAGATATGTGTTTTGATCCCATAACTCTGTTGTGTAACGCTTTAAAACTTTTTACATGAAATTGTTTCAACAAGGCCGGACTATTGTGCCTATTTACTATCAGGTAGTCCACAAATTGTTGCTACAAGCTTTCAGCGAGAGTTCTGATGAAAGTTAAATAGATAAATCTTATTTTATACTTTAGATCCCCTCTATTGGCTTCTTGATAAATCTAGACTAGACTTGCAATCCCCATTCTTATATACATAGTCCTAAATAATCAAGCTTCATCATACATGTAATATATGATTCCTCCTTTTGTTCAAAACAGAGATCTTCGCTTCAAGACAGTGGCTTTACTAGTGGTTCGTAGGGGTTCTAAAAGTTCAATGGGAGGCAGATCTTTTAGATATCAGCCTTTAATACAAGGCTGAAATCGTTTAATAAAGCTTATAGTTAGAGTGACTTGGGTTATCCTGTCTCTGTAGTTAAGCTGCTTTAGGCTTACACTGATGGAGGACAGAGCGGACATTTCCCCCACTCAATTAAATTAACCTACCACACAGGATAAGCATGTAAAACCTTGCTGATGACTATTGAGGTATCCTATCACACCTTTGGTGGTGGAGATTACATACATTTCCATTTTTAATTTACTTCTCTAATAAAACTATTTAGGATGTAGGCTTTTATGTTTCTCTTAAAACTTAATCTCTTACTTAAACACTATAGACTTGTTTTGCAATTTTTCAATTTCTTATTAGAAATGTATAAACTTTTTTTTTTTTACTTTAAAATGTCTTTTTAGTTTCCATTGTTTAGTTTGGTTTCACTTTAGCTATTCTACATAGCTAGAATTTGCGTAAAATATCCCATTAATCACATTTCATAATTTTATCACTTGCATAAACATGGAGAAGAAAATGTAAACTTATTTTTATTCAAATGACAAGTTTGATTAGAATTAATACATTTTTGTGTTGTTATTGTTCAATTACAGAACCCAAAACCTTTCTTAAAACTGAAGAGCTGCTTTTTTCATGCCACCGCCGGTAGGACTCGGAGCAATCACCCTAAACTGTAGCTTCCCCCGCAGATTTTCTCAGATTAAAGTCTGGACTCTAGGTTGATCACTTCTGACAAACATTTAACAACTCAATCTGCCAGGGGTATGATTATACTGGGCTTAACTTTACTATTTTTACATTTTTGAAGTTTTGCTTGACCTAATTCATGTTTTATCCTCATTTATTTGATGGTTTTATTATTGAGTTTGAAAATCTACTCTACTATACTCTTTAAAATAAACTAAAGTGTGTATATTCATATTTTGATTTCACTAATCTATGTATGCTATCTTTAACATCTATAAATCTCTTTTCCTAGGAGGTTGTTTACATTGTCCATCACTGTATCGACCATTCAGGCCTCTAAACAAGCACTAGATGGTTAAATGTCATCTGTTCTGATGTAGAAATGGAGCTACACTTTTTTTTTTTTTTTTACAATGCTTTATTCTATATTTCTCATCTTTGTTGGAACTGCATTATTTCAAAATGTTAAATATTGACCACAGATTCTGTTGTAATAAAGATATTATTGGAAATAAATTAAACAATATGTTATCATGAAGGACCAGGGTACAATTGTTTATTACAAAATAGTACATTCCATAAAAAAATAACTGTCCTGTTTCACAGGAACGTTTTAAATATTTTCCCAATAGGTCGGTTGAAATGCCATATAAATGGTAAGGACATTTTTCAAAAGGGCCAAAAGTTGCCCTTTCTCCCCAGACAGCACAATTTCAAATTGATTAAATTTATAGAAAAATGATTATGTAAAAAGAGTAATAAGCAAAAAAAATGTCAAGATATACTTGAAAACGACTCTAGGAATGTGTTTTCCTTTAAAATGTTCAAACACAGGATTTCATGATTTATTACAAGGCAATAAATACTTCCACTCTCAGCCAATTTTGGAAATGTTATTCTGTTTGAATTCAAGACATTGATTTGGAAATATAAGCAACTTTAGAGAATAACAAAAACATATTTAAAACGTTACAGTAAAAATATTTGGTCATAACAAAAAAAATATAAAAAACACCTATGAAATCTTGCACAGATTACTGCAAAACTCGGGGCACTAAGGGCTTTCATAAAAGAATAAATAATAAAAAAAAATTCCCTCCTACCTTTGTTTTGGATCCATTGTTACAATCAGGACAGATTATTAGAAGATTTTTAGCACCGCTGCAGTTCCACACAAAGTAAGATGGAGAAAAAACGGACGGAGCAGCTGATTGGCTGAAGTGTTTGTTCAGACAATGATGATGATGATGAGACATGAAACTGAAGGAACATGTGATTGACAACTCTTTAAATCCTGACATTCCAGTATCTTTGCATTTCACAGACTGATTTATTTTAACCTTTGCTTTTGTTCATCTTAAAGCTGATGGGAAAACCATCATTAAAATGTTGCCAGAGTTTCTCTTCATGATGATTGCTCACAAAAATAAAACATGGTGGCTCCTTAAGAGCTCCAGTAACAACAAAGTCTATCAAGTGACATCTGTTTAACAGATGTTTACCCTCTGGGTTTGTGTGTGAGTGTATAGACTGTAGGTAGGCTGGTATTCTTGGGACCAGGATGTTTGAAACTGGCAGAGCTAACAACTCCACCCTTGGTAAATAGAGCAGCATGAGATGATCAGCTGACTGATTATTCATAGTGGAAAAGGTTCCCAATACAGTATATACACTCTGGACCCAGAAAAACACTAGAAGAGACATAGAGCTGCTTTTCTCAATGGTTCAAATCGTTTCTATGTACTTTGTGGTGTACTTTCCTGTTCTGGAACAAATAGACAATCTGGTCTCAATCAGGCTCAAACATGACTTTCATTAAAATGACTAAAATCTTCAGTCATATATACACAAACGAAACCATGTGATGATTTGATAAAAATAAACTTGAAACTGATACGTTTTTTTTTTTGAAAAGCTGATTACAGCCTTTCTGCATCAATTGTGACTGAAAACTATTTATTGATAAACTGGGGATGTGACGGTGGTAT